CTAGACTTCAATTCTCCCTTAAAATATAAACATAAGAGGTCTACAGCCATACCACCCTGAACATGCCCAAACTCGTTTGATCTCAGAAGATACAGAAATAAAGAGGACTATATACACTTGCCTCTCTGGTCATTCTCAAACCTACAGGGCTAGGTTTTTCTTTCTTTTTTTTTTTTGTTTTTTTGTTTTACTCCATACTTAAAAAATAGAAGGTTAAAAAGAAAAAGTCATTTTGCATCTGCATTTCAATTTTATGTGACAAAAGGAACTGAACTACCATGTTTAAATGTTATGACACGGAAATAGTTTAAGGAGCAGTTAAAAATTGATGAAGAGACACTGGTGGATAGAATGAGCGTTGAGAGCACGAAGAAATGAGAAAATGAAAGAGGGAACAAGATAGATGTTTCTGCCATTGCTAGCCACATGACCTTGGCCAACTCAATTCTAAAATCTGGTCTTTTTGTAAGTAATGTGGGGACAGCCATGCTGGCAGTGCAGGGAAACGGGGAGGATCAGCTGATAAAACAGTATTGCAGAGATGACAGACAGACAGAGCTGCTTACATTTCTACCTTTAGCTCAAGGTTTTGACAGCTTTGAGGAAGACACAGCTTTGAACACATTCAGCACATGAATACTTATGTATCTGTAGCTCCTAATTCAAACGTGGAAATTTTTTAAGGTTTTGTTTTTAAGCACTCTCTACACCTAACTTGGGGCTTGAACTCACACCCCCAAGATTAAGAGTCCCATACTCCAGCAACTGAACCAGCCACGCACCCCTGAGGAAAAGCTTTTTATTTTTATTTTTTGTTTTGTTTTGTTTTTTGTTTGTTTGGTTTTTTTGGAAAAGCTTTTTAACTTTAACTTTTGGAGAGAGGTCTTACTGGTTTTTTTTAGTCAATTACTTTGTAAATGCTTTGAATCAAATGGTGGAAGAGTAGTGGTATCAGCCACCCAGAAGAGGGCACTATTCCCCCAAAAATGGAAGCTGCTACTACTAATGGAAGCTGCTTGCTTCCAAGGTTCAAAAGGAAAGATGTGTAGAGGCCAACAAATTAGTCATGAGTATTTGATACCCCCATTCTTGTTTCATGACTCTCGTGTCTCTCTTCCCCACTCCGTTTTGGCAGCAGTATTTCTTCTGCATCCCCTCAAAGCCTTTTCAGGTAGCTGTAGGAGGGATTCTCAAAATGTAGTGGTTCCCAATTTTCAACACTACTACTGTTCTCTCCACTGTATTTTCCTGATATATCCAACATTTTGAAACCTTCTATCTGCTAAACTACATTTAGTAATAGATTCATGATCATTCTCCTAATCTATAAATAAGATACAAGTGCAGCTTAGCAATGTCACACCAGCGTGTGATGGTGTTGTATTACTGAGCTGGTGTAATTTCAGCCACTGCCAAAGAAACTTGATGTTTTAATTAGCAAGGAGTTAAGCAAAGGAAATATACAATTTCTATTAGAATCTTGAAATATTGAAAATACCTTGCAGAACCCAGATACTCTCTGGGGATTCCTAGGGGTCTGAGATCCCAGAAGAAAGAAGATGATCTTGTCTGAAATGTCTAAATTAAGCCCATGATTTGCATATTTTATTCCTATTATAGCATCAGGCATAATATTTCCAATTTGCCAAGGCATAATACCTCCAAAGGCAAATCCAAATTTGGATCTGGATGAAACTTCTTATAATCTTTATCTAGGGGCATCCGGGTAGCTCAGTGTCTGTCTCTTGATTTAACGGCTTAGGTCATTAAGTCTCACAGTTTGTGGGATTGAGCCCCATGTCGGGCTTTTCACTGACAGCAGCATGGAGCCTGATTGAGATTCTCTCTTTTTCTCTCTCCACCTCTCCCTCTCTCTCTCAAAATAAACATTTTTTTAAAAAAAGAATAAAAAATACTTTATTACCAAAAAAAATCTGAGAGGAATTCAGGACAACCTAGCAAAAACTGAAGACCTATATAGAAGGCCATGTATTCAGACAAGTTTTGTGAATATATAAATATATAAAAATATGCATATATATATATATAACAATATCAGGTGCCTCATGCATTGGGCACTTTAAATAGATCTTACAACAGTTCTGTAAGGTCGATATCATTACAGATTAGAAAACTGAATCAGAGAAGTTTGGAAACTCTCCATCACACAGCTCCCAAGGATTGTAATTGGGATTCAAATTTGTCTGAATCCAGGGTGTCTGCATGGCTCAGTTGAGTGGGCATCGGACTTTGGCTCAGGTCATTATCTCATGGTTTCTGAGTTCGAGTCCCGCAATGGGTTCTATGCTCTGGGCTGATGGCTCAGACCCTGAAGCCTGCTTCAGATTCTGTGTTCCTCTCCCTCTCTCCCCCTCCCCTATCACTCTCTATCTCTGTCTCTCAAACATTAAAAAAAAAAAGAAAGAAAGAAAAAGAAAAACAAAGAAACAAGGCGCTTGGGTGGCTCAGTCGGTTAAGCATCTGACTTTGGGTCAGGTCATGATCTCACGGTCCATGAGTTTGAGCCCCTCATCCAGCTCTGTACTAACAGCCCAGAGCCTAGAGCCTACTTCAAATTCTGTGTGTATCTCTCTCTCTCTGTTCCTCCCCTGTTCATGCTCTCTCTCTCTCAAAAATAAATGTTAAAAAATATTTTTAAAAAATAAACATTAAACATTTAAAAAAATTGTCTGAATCCTAAACTCAGGTCATCATGCTACCTCAAAGGAACAGTTTTCTCATTAGAGAGTACAATGCAATGGGGAGAAGAAATCAAGAACTAATGTCAACATACACAATCCTGGGCAGAAAATGCAAATCACCTGTTTTAGAGAATAATCTCCCAAACAACACATATGCCCATCCTTAGTATCTGTAGTCATATGTTGTGTTTTAGAAGAAACACAACCTTTAGAAGAAAAGTTTTATTGGTCTCACAATGGATTTCATCTAATACATTTAGAGAGTGTCGTAATACATCTCGTGGCAAAATTAGATGGATTTCATTCGTCCCTACATGTGACCAGAGCCACAAAAGACTTTGGATTCCTCATTCTATTAGGAAATTTGTTCAGGTCCAAAATCAAAGAGTAAATTGTTCTTACTCCTTTTTCCAAAGAGTGACAAGAGTAGAACAGAAATGGAGAACTGGAAGAACTCTGGAATGTTGCAGGAGTTCAGTATTTTGCAGGATCCTTACTTAATCATTTTTCTCCCCTCGAGGTGTATTTGACATATAACCCTCACTGACTCTTGTAAGAACAAAACCTTACAGACAGAAGGAATCTTCAGGGCGCCTGGGTGGCTCGGTTGGTTAAGCATCTGATTTTGGCTCAGGTCATGATCTCGCAGTACTTGGGTTCGAGCCTATGACAAGCTCTTTATTGACAGCTCAGAGCCTGGAGCCTGCTTTGGATTCTGTGTATCTCTCTCTGCCCCTCCGCTGCTCATGCTCTGTCTTTCTTTCTGTCTGTCACAAAAATAAACACTAAAAAAGATGAAAAAATCATCTAGTTCAGCTATCCTGTTAAGCTACGGACTGGAAATACCTCTGCAACACACCAATCAAAGGATCACCAAGACTCTGCTTGAATACCCTAAATAATGGGAAATGCATTCATTTATAAAATGTCTATTTCATCTATGGGTAGTTTTGACAAATGTTAAGTTATTTCTATGAGCTGAAATCTTTAGTCTAACTTTCACTGATGATGATTCCAAGCTGTCATATCCTCTGAAACAATACCCCCACACATAAGGCTTTTCTATACAAATTACCCTTCTTGGTACTTTGCTCAGAGTTTAAAATGTCCTTGTGATCTTCTTGGAAATGCCATAGTAAGTTCTGAGCCACTACAAGCCAATAGTCAGGAGCGAGTGGGCCAACCGCTACAAAACACATGGGCATATCTGACCTCTCCTCCTCTGTGCTCTCCCAGAGCCTGGAAGCAGCTCTCTACAGCGCCAGGTTTCATCTTGCCTTCACTGTTATCAGGATGGCGAGAGTTGGAAAGAGGCACTCTCCAATTATTCAATCATGCTTGAGATCTAAGGCCTTGATAATCCTTAGCAACCTGTTGGAAGAAACATCCCCTCAACCGTAAGTCAGCATTAGTATCTATCCAATGTGCTGAAACCAGTCCTGACTGCTCATACTCTCCAAACCCGAGAGAACTGACCATTCCACCACTTGGTCTGAAAAGGCCAGCCAGAAAAACTTCTGGCGAAGCTATCTAAGTCTTAGTGGAAATAGACCAAATGTAAATGTAAATCATCCATCTTCCATCTTTTCTCTAAATCTCTAATTCAGAACCTCCTTGCACTCACACATTCTGCAACCATTCTGCTTCCTTTCTGTCTCCACCATCAGAGAACATCCTGATTTCTCACTACCATGCTATAGAGAGTGCCTTGAATGTGAGGAGGAATCAGAAAAACAGTAGACCCAGTTGCTGCCACATGTATTTTGGACATTGCCAGTCAGTACAATGGGGGCTATCTGTTCATGCTCAAGGTGGTTGCAGAGAAGATCTTGGCAGCAACGACTGGATAGAAAAAATTCTTGTTGCAAAGTACCCAATACATCTATATAAACTCTTTCTGATAATGATAAAAGACTTTAGTTGAAACAAAAATATCTATGCAACCCTAATACACTATTTTCTGGATTTTTGTGTTGAAATCAGGTAAAATCCACTTAACATAAGAGTGGACTAGTGTAGGTAGAGAAATTCACTACTGGGTATAGTAAATGAGCACCCTATGTAGTTGAGAAATTAATGAATGTCTGAAAATTTGAGTTAATTACATTTAATTGGAAAAGAACCAACTATTTTATGGTTTCTTAATTGCAAAAAATCTATATTCTCAATAAGTTCATAGTAAAATAACCTTGTAAAAAAGCTTTAAAATGTCAAAAAAAAAAAAAGCGGGGGGGGGGACCAGCAACTAGAACAAAATATATAATGAGATTAGCAGAATCTCATTATTATGCTTGGCTTTAGAGAATTCTTACATACTCAGTTGATTAAAATATACTATATTAATGCTGTACATTTTTAACAAAGAGTTTCCCAAAGAAAAATAAGAATTAAACATTTATGACTGGAGTTAGTTGTAGTAAGGAATTGGATGTGAGTGTTTGACCGCTCTTTGTGCCTTCAAAGTTCTGTAGAAAATTCTGTCTTCTTTTTAGTCCATCCAAAGTGACTGAATTATTAGATGCCAGACTCTGTGTCCTAAGGATATTAAAAATGACAGAATTATTACCTTCCAAAGGGGCCTGGATTTCTAATCAAGGCATTATATCTTCATTTGTTACTTTGAAGCAAACATTTACTAACACTACTAACATTTACTAAACATTTACTAACACTAAGGTGCACTTAAAACCTTTAAAATCTAAAGTGCTCCTTACTTAAAAATTTTTTTTAATGTTTATTTATTTTTGAAAGAAAGAGAAAGATAGAGCATGAGCAGAGGAGGGGCAGAGAGAGAGAGAGGGAGACACAGAATCTGAAGAAGACTCCCAGGCTCTGAGCTGTCAGCACAGAGCCTGACATGGGGCTTGAACCCACCAACCATGGGATCATGACCAGAGCCGAAGTCAGACGCTTAACTGACTGAGCCACCCAGGTGCCCCTGAAACGCTCCTTATATTTTAAAGGCTTCACAATAGCACCTCAATTATTTGACACCTGCTTTCCAAGAAATTCATATTTTTTGAACATCTTCTCAGATCCAATATCAAGTATATTCTAGTCAGAAACAATAAGTAAGCTCCTTGGTGGCTGGCTGGCTCAGTCAGAAGCATGTGTGCCTCTTGATTTTGGGGTTGCGAGTTCAAGCCCCACTTTGGGTGTAGAGATTACTTAAATGAATAAATAAGTTTAACAAAAAAGAAAAACAATAAGTTCCCTAAAAAACTCTTCTATACAAGTGAAGTAGCCCATATCTTCATGTGTAATTTGCTTCTTTTTTGGGAAGTCATATGGAAGAGAAAAGCCAACCATAATATTTTTCATATTGACAATGTTCCTTTCCAAGGAGCTGTAGGCTAGGTTAGCCCTTTATCTAACACATCTGCCTTGCTTTAGTGAAGTCATACCACTGATTGGGAATTTTGCTTTTGACATTCCACTTTCCGCCTTGCATCCTCTCCATCCCTTGCTCATTACAGTAAGATAAGGTTTGGGGCTCCTGGGTGGCTCAGTTGGTCAAGCTCAGGGCTCTTGGTTTCAGCTCAGGTCATGATCTCATGGTTCTCAAGATTGAGCCCCACATCAGGCTCTGTGCTGACAGTGCAGACCCTCCTTGGGATTCTTTTTCTCCTCTCTCCCTCTGTCTCTGCCCTTGCCTTCTCTCGCTGCCTCTCAGAATAAATAAACTTTAAAAAATTAAAACTAAAATCACCATACTTTAGAAAAAAAAAGATATGCCTCAAAAATATATCCTCCAATAAGTGTTCCCCCAAACCGCTCATTACTCTTAATTCCACATCTCTTTGGCAATTGGAAAGGGTTTCCACTTTGTTCTTCTTCTTTTTTTTTTTTTTTAATAAATTCTACCCCCAACATGAGTTTTACCTAAGCCAGTCGGGTGCCCTCCGCTTTGTTCTTGAGTTCAATTTGTCTACTTATTTTTGGTTGGTCTATTCAACTAAAGTGCAAATTTCCTATGGGTAGAAGCGACATTTTATTGGTCTTCTCTGTCACTCTAATTCGTGTAACAATTATGGCACAATGTTGATGTCCAAATGCCATCTTCCCTTTTCTCGATTATACTTATAAGTCTTTTAAGAGAACCATATTATAGGCACTTTTTTAAGAAATTAAATTTTTCGGAGCACCTGGGTGGCTCAGTTGGTTGAGCATCCAACTTTGGCTCAGGTCATGATCTCATGGTTCATGGATTCGAGTCCTGCGTCAGACTCTGTGCTGACAGCTAGCTTAGAGCCTGGAGCCTGTTTCAGATTCTGTGTCTCCCTCTCTCTCTGGCCCTCCCCTGCTCATGCTGTCTCTCTCTCTCTCTCTCAGAAATAAATTTTTAAAAAAACATTAAAATTTCTTTTAAAAAGAAAAAAAGAAAATAAATTTCTCAAGATTTCACAAAAATTCTCATATCCCTGACAAATTTAAATTATTGCATGTCCTTGACATGCAAGTCAAGGAGAAATTCCCCTTATCTGTTTTGAGTTTCATTTTGTTTTTGTTTCTGCATTTTTTTAGCAGCAGGCAAAAGTTTATTAGAATATAAGATTAGAAAGGAAGAATAGTAGAAAAGCTCTCTCTACAGAGAGGAGACGTTTGAAAGTAAATACCCAAGGACTATAGGCAAGGGTCCTTGTTTTATAATAAGGTTCTGGTCAGCCCTGTCTCTGCTTTTGCCCAAGAAAAAGGGAACCCATAGCTTGTTGGCTCACACTACCATTGTTTACTTTGGGGACAATATGTGTTGTACTTTAAAGACTGTATATGAAGGGCACCTGGGTGGCTCAGTTGGTTAAGCCTCCAACTCTTGGTTTTGGCTTAGGTTGTGATCTCACAGTTCATGGGTTCAAGTCCTGCATCAGGCTTATGCCGGCAGTGCATAATCTGCTTGGGATTCTCTGTCTCTTCCTCTCTTTTGGTCCCTCCCTTGCTTGCACTTGCGCGCGCTCTCAAAAAAAAAAAGACTTGATATGAATTAAACAATTCTTTCAAGCAGAAAAGATCTGTTTCCCAATAAGAGGTAAAGATATATATTTTTTTAAATGCAGACCTCCAGGAATTTAGCCTAAGGTAGAGTCAGAAATGTCTATAAACATCTATATGTAAAAACAATCCAATGAAGATTGATTTATTACAGCAAAAAAAAAAAATTGGGAATCTAAATATCAAAGGAAGGAAGATAATAGTTATGTAAATACTACAGTCCACATAACAGAATACTAAGCAGCCATTAAGGGGTGCCTGGGTGGCTAGGTTGGGCATTTCCGGGTCAGGTCATGATCTCATAATTCCTGAGTTTGAGCCCCGCGTCGGGCTCTGTGCTAACAGCTCAGACTTAGAGCCTGTTTCTAATTCTGTGTCTCCCTCTCTGTCTCTGTCCCTCTCCTGCTCGTGTTCTGTCTCTCTCGTGAAAAGGAATAAATATTTTTAAAATTTAAAAACAAAAAAGAATGAGTTGGGGGCACCTGGGTGGCTTAGTCGGTTAAGCAGCCGACTTCACTCAGGTCATGATCTCATGGTTCATGAGTTCGAGCCCTGCGATGGGCTCTGTGCTGACAGCTCAGAGCCTGGAGGCTGCTTTAGATTCTGTGTGGACTCTCTCTCTCTCTCCCTCCCCTGCTTGCGCTCTGTCTCTGTCTCTGTCTCTCTCAAAAATAAATAAACATTAAAAAAAAAAAGAATGAGTTGGATCTGTGTATATTGCTTGCAGGATATCCATGATATGTTAGGTGAAAAAGAAAACCACAGCTTTGTATGATCTGTTGTTAAAAAATAATTATATTTTTAAATGCACAGGAAAAAGCCCAAAAGAATATAAACCACACTGTCAACAATGTTTAGGTCACCTCAACGGAAAGGCAATGGAAAAGACTGGGGAGTGCACACTGTCAGTTTCACCTTTTACGTTTCTGTATTAGTTTTTCAAAAGGAAGTACATAATATTGTATAGCAAAAAACTAGTAAAGATATATGCCAAATTTTAAGATGAACTTTTTGAAAACTATCTTAATAACCTAAGGGGAATGTTTACACTGTATCTTGAAAACACTATACAAAATAGTAAGTACAAAAAAGATAAAATATTTAGACAAAATATATAGATCAATATGTTCAGACTGAAGTGTTATAAATATACCAAATATAAAAGGATTTTTTAAACATCTAAACGGTAGGGTGATTACAGGTGTTTTTTAAAGTGCTTTTCAGTACTTCTCAAATGTTCTACTATAACCATATTACTTTCATAATCTGAACAATGTTTAATTTTAACAAATTAACATGGAAAATATTGGTGGAAAGTAGCTTCATCTCTTTCTGAACCAGCATAGAACCAGAAATATAAGCGAAAACTCCCAGCCCTCAGTTCAAGAAGTGCTTCATTTATAGCAGTTCCTTCCTATATTTAGAAATAATTCAAGATTTAGTAGTAGTGGAACAAATTCTGGTTCACATTCAAAATGAACTCTATCCTATTATGTAAGAGATTTCATTTTGAACTTTATACAATTTATTCAGTGAGAGCTGGCAGAATTCTATCACTATTAAAAGCGTATTCAGGCGAGTCCCCTACTAGGTAATTCAGTACACCCTTGTTTGTAATAATTCCTGAGGAATGGCAGCTAATCAAACACTTTTACATACACTTACCGTGGAGAATCTATTCCACTATCTCCCGCCACGCTATGATTTTCTGTTCCTTCCCGATGATTGTATTCATGTTGGATATCCTGAGCCAACGCTGGCATATGTGAAGGGCTGAAAAGTTCTAACTTGTGCGTGAGCTGTTTTCTCACTTCCTGATTCTGAGCACCCTGACTCCAGCTCGCTGGTTTCTTTTCTGTGTCACCAACCGAGTCGTGTAGGGTTTCAGTCTCAGAATTGGCTTTCCTCGTACTATAGTAATCAAATATACTTCCATCTGTGTTCACTGAGGCTTGCACACATGTAGCAACACTGGGTCCCTCTTCATAGGTAAAACTGGGCCGAATCCCTGAATGGAGGCCACAGCTTTCAGCAGAGAGATTAGGGGTCTGGCTTTCACCTGGGTTAGTGACCAACCCAGTGGGTTTGTAACACTCATTTCCTTTAAGCACCTGAGGCTCAAACTTGTGTATTTTGGGGTTGTACTCAGTCAGAGATCTTTCAGGCCCCTTTGGTTTTCCTAAATGATTCCACTTGCTTCCCCCTGTAAAGGAATACTGAATGTGGCCAGGCAGCATTTGACGTGAGTCATCATGCTCAGAAAAGTCCTCCTCATCTAGATATAATGAACTACAGGCTCCATCATCATCTTCCACTTCGTTCTGATACAAGGCCTGGTTATCATCAGAAAGCCCTTCGTCTTCTGGACATATAGTCTTTGCTTCCTGGACAAATGCCTTTCTTACGAGTGTTTGTTCTGAGCCTCCATCTTGTCTCTCAGGTTGCCTCAAATAGTTCACGCTAACTGGGCAATCCAAAAGACCAAGATTTTGGAACTGGTGTATTGTTTTATCAACTAGTCTACAAGCAGAGGAAACATGGCCTAGAGAGGAAGAACCTTGTGATGGCAGCACATACTGTGTTTCTTCTGCATCCCCTAGTGCGTCAACGTGAGAATAACTTTTCCTCAAGACTTCAGGGATTACCTCATTTTTTCCACCATGCACATCATGTCTCCTCAGGCTTTCCCTAAAGGAACAACATTTACTACCATTTTGCAAAACACTACGTTGAGAGTGATTTGCGAGGGGATCCCTGAAGTCATCACCGACAGGCTTGACGGTAGAGTGAGGCACAGAAATGGATTCTGCTGTCAGTTTATCTTTATATTGTTGAGCATGTGGCTGCTTTCCTTTACTCTCAAAGATTCTTGAGGAATCCAAAGACCTTGGCCTTTGGAAAGGCTTTCCCTTTGGTCCAGTATCACTGGGTTTCAGGTCCCTGGTCGGTTGGATGTTGTGCCCTTTGGCTGCTGGGTGTTCTCGGTGAGGCAAACCCTGGAAAGGATTACTAATTCGCCTTTTGTAAAACAAATGGGAACCTAGCACTGATGGATTCTCATCAAGTGGTTTCTGAACTACTGCTTCATTTGGGCTTTGAATTCTGAAGGCGGGCTGTGCAGCAGGGAGGCTGGCGTGTTTCTCTGGTCTAACGCTTCCTGGCGGAGGCTCACTTCCCTGACTCCTGGCTTTGTGTCTATCCCTATGAGAATGGCCCAGCCTTCGAGGCCTTACAGACCGGCCCCGCCTTTTCTTAACTCCCTCCTTTGAAGGGTATTTATGCCTGACCGTGGGCACATCAGTGGAAGTGCCCCGGCTATTGTATTTTTTCTCTTCTTCATATTTTTGCATTAGGACGGTATGTTTGATTAAATTGTCAACAGTCAGAACGGGATTAATTCGTTTGATGATCTCATGTTCAATGTCTCGAGGGATATTGTCCAAGTTATCTTCATCTCGAACAGGCCATTCTTCTGGTGGAAACTGGGCAGAGAAACTACTGTGCTCTATTCTGGCCTTCTCCTTTCTGGATATACTACGCCAAAATAGGCTAAAGCCAAACTTTCTGCCTTTTTCTTTGTCTTTTGTGTATGGTAAAGGTTTGGTGCTTTCAGCGATGTGATTCTCCTCAGACATGGAAATTGCTTGATTCTGTCCCAAAGATTTGGGTTCCTGCAGACTTTTCTGGCTTTTTCTAGACACTTCTGCAGCAGCTGGTGCTTCCTGTACATCCTGAGTGCACAGATCAGGGAAACACCGGCAAGACTGACAGTGGGAAATAGGGGCAGCATTTTCTTTGGCCAACTCTGCACAGCTCTCCACGCTCACCAGATAAGTAATGCAAGTTGGCATCTGGCCGCTTTCATCTGACAGGTCTCTCTTATTTTCATGGGAGGTTATATTCGTAATGAAGTAAGTCTGAGGAGTGACTATGAAGTATCCCTCTCCAGTATGATAAATTTTCCTTTCTTTAATCAGAGTTCCCAGAGTGGTATAGAGAATATCTTGAGATGGAACTGTGATGCCTAAAACAAACAGCATTTTATTACACTGATAGATTTTGGATGAAAAACATTTCGATGAGTGAAGTCAGTAACTCAGAAATGACCATACATTTGCTTGATGAACCCAGAGTTAACTGTAACACAATTAATATATGTAATTTAAAACACCAAAGAGGCACTAATAATAGTCATAACTTAATTGAAAAATAGGAATATATTTTGGTCCACACAAAGACATAGGGATAAGTTAATGATTGAGTAAAGAAAAAAAATCTGAGTCCACTCAAATACAAACAGTAAGTTATATAACCCCATCATATATTTATTTTATTTTGTTTAATGTTTGTATTTTTGAGAGAGCACAAGTGGGGGAGGGGCAAAGAGAGAGGGGGACAGAAGATCCAAAGCAGGGCCAGCTTTGCGCAGACAGCAGAGAGCCCCACGTGAGGCTCAAACTCATGATCTGTGAGATCGTGATCTGAGCCGAAGTCCAGCCCTCAACTGACTGAGCCACCCAGGTGCCCACTCGTCACAAATTTAAAGGTTTAAGAAAGCACTTTTGAAGAGTTTTGAAAATAGTCTCATAGCTTAAATCTTAATAAGAATCTAAAGACAAAAAGAAAACCAGCTTGTACCAGGGGGAGGGCAAACTACCTAACAATCTATATTATGATAGTTTTTAAACTAGGAAGATAACAAATCCTTTTAAAAGAAACTCCTAGGGGGTGCCTGGGTGGCTCAGTCAGTTAAGCGTCTGACTTTGGCTCCGGTCAGGATCTCACGGTTCATGGGTTCAAGTCCCACACTGAGCTCTGTGCCGACAGTTAGGAGCCTGCAACCTGCTTTGGATTGTGTGTGTGTGTGTGTGTGTGTGTGTGTGTCTGTGTGTCTGTGCTCCTCCCCCACTCATACTCTGTCTCTCAAATATAAATACAATTAAAAATTAAATTTAAAAAATTCCTGGGGATGGGGCGCCTGGGTGGCTTAGTCGGTTAAGCGTCCGACTTTCGCTTAGGTCACGATCTCGCGGTTCGTGGGTTCGAGCCCCGCGTCGGGCTCTGTGCTGACTGCCGGCTCAGAGCCTGGAGCCTGTTTCAATCTGTGACTCCCTCTCTCTCTGACCCTCCCCTGCTCATGCTGTCTCTCTCTCTCTCTCCTAGAAATAAATAAAACATTTAAAAAAATAAATAAATAAAATAAAAAATAAAAATAAAAAATTCCTGGGGCGCCTGGGTGGTTCAGTTGGTTAAACATCTGACTCTTGGTTTCAGCTCAGGTCATTATCTCATGGTTCATGGGTTCTAGTCCTGCCTTAGGCTTCATGCTGGCAGTGTGGATCCTGCTTATGATTCTCTCTCTCCCTCTCTTTCTGCCCCCCCCCTCCCCGGCCCCGGCTCCTACTGTTTCTGCCTCTCTCAAAATAAATAAACTAAAAAAAAAATCCCTTTTCCAAATAGCAGCATTCAAAATTGTATTTATATTGTGAATACATCTTTGAATAACACTGGAAGAAAATACATCAATATATTAACATTGATTTCCTTGGGTGGTGGTACCGTAAGTGTTTACTTTCCTAGATACTCTTGATTTTCTACAATGAACATATTTCACAATGGGAAAAATTTTTAAATGTTCTTCTACAGGGGTGCCTGGCTGCACGTTGGGTGCAGATTACTTAAAAATAATCTTTAAAATTATTTTTTTAATAATTAAAAAGTAATTAATTAAAAAATACTCTTCTACATTCATGTACTGGGACATCATAGCAACTGTGAAAGAATGAGATAGATCAATATACAGTAATACAGAAAGATTTCTAAAATATATTTTAACCTAAGCAAGGGGCAGAGAGAATGTAAAGAATGATCCAATCTGGGGCGCCTGAGTGGCTCAGTTGGTTAGGCATCGGACTTTGGCTCAAGTCATAATCTCATGGCTTGTATGTTCAAGCCCTGCATCAGGCTCTGTGCTGACAGCTCAGAGCCTGGATCCTGCTTCCAATTCTGTGTCTGCCTCTCTCTTTGCCCCTCCCTGGCTCATGCTCTGTCTCTGTCTCTCAAAAATAAACGTTAAAAATAAAAAGATTCAATTTATGTTATAAAAAAAGAACACATAATGCTCAAATACAATTTATGAAAATATACACAGGAAAAGATAATAGAAGCTGTCACCTTTGGGAGGTGGCAATGGAAGGATGTGATGGCGGCTGGGGGTGGTGGTGGAGATGAACTTTCCCTTGCTTTGCTTTGCACTTCTTTCTACAATCTGATTTGTCACAAACATTATTTTTGAAAAAGTTCCTTTAGAAAGTAAAAGATATACCCTTATTAAATTTGTTGATGCAGGCTTTTTCCTAACAGGACTCTAATACAAGTTTCTACAATAGAAAAAAAAAAAGTAGATATCGCCCAGTTTATTTACATGTTTAAGATGATTTATAAATAGGGGTGCCTGGGGTGGCTCAGTTCGTTGAGTGTCTGACTTCAGCTCAGGTCTTGATCTTACGGTTTATGAGTTTGAGCCCCACGTTGGGCTTTGCACTGACAGCACAGAGCCTGCTTGCAATTCTCTGTCTCCTTCTCTCTCTGCCCCTCCCCAGCTTGTACTCTCTCTCAAAAACAAAAATAAATAAATAAATACACATTTAAAAAATTTTTTTAAAGTTGTTGAAATCCCTCTTTAAAAATGATGTGTAAATAGAAAGCAAACACATGCAGTGAACTAATAGAGAAAACTTGGTGCCCTACCTGGGTAATGTTTCACCAAATGCTCCAGCAGTGATTCCTGTGTCACCACAATCTGAGCAGCATTCATATCAGATATAGCACAGCAAAGAACTTCAGCCAAAGGTATAAACTGAGATTGAACTATTGGATTCATTTGCACTGGAAGGACATCACCTAAATTGGAGATTTAAAAAAAAAAAAAAAGGTGATAAATCTGTAGAAAAAAATATTTGGAATTAGTGAATCAAGAATAAAAACTGCACAGCACATGGAATTGGAATTTTTTCATCAGTTTTTCCTCAGACTCTGTTGACATAACTTGTACAATGATAGAAAGCATAGAAGAAAAAGGTTTACATTAGGGTCCCTACTTTTTAAGAAGTGTGTAGACTTTGTCACTACCTGACATGCAAGAGATACTAAGTCCCCAGATGAAAGGCACAAAGTGCTATCAGAGTACATTGGGCAATGCTTATATGGTAATTCTCATCTTTCAAAACATTTTTCTTTCCATATTAGCTAACTGCGGCAGGCAGGTAGGGATGGGATTCTTTTTTATTTAAAATACAGAAAACCTTCAGGCACCTGGGTGGCTCAGTTGGTTGAGCATTCGACTGTGGCTCAAGTCATGATCTTGAGGTTTGTGGGTTCATGCCTCGCGCTGGGCTCTGTGCTGACCGCTTAGAGTCTGGAGCCTGCTTCGGATTCTGTGTCTCCCTCTCTCTGTGTCCCTCCCCTACTCTCTCTTTCTCTCTCCCTCTCTCAGAAGTAAATTTTTTTAAAAATTTTAAAATAAACAAAAATTTTAAAACATACAGAAAAACTTCTGAAAGCTCAAGAAATTGTCCCAAGGTCAGACAGCAAGTAAAGTGACAGAAATAGGTCTTTTGACTCCTAATCTGGTATTTTCATCATTCCACATTTTCCTGATTGGAATGATTAGGAAGATTTGAAAAGGGAAAGTGCAGAAATGTTTTCCAAAAGCACAAAGACATGGGGCAAAACCATGGAAGGAGGAAAACACAAGGTATATAAAAGTGTGAATAGAATTATCGTGGTTGGATAGCACTTAAGGGGTATATCAGACCCAAAGGGAAGATCGACTGGAAATATAAGCTAGACCACATTGTCCTTCCTCCTTCCCAACGTATTAAATAAGTGTCCTTAACTTGCTATTACTCACGTTACAGTTAAAAAAATTTTTTTTAATGTTTTATTTATTCTGAGAGAGAGAGAGACAGCATGCGCAGGGGAGGGTCACAGATAGAGGGAGACACAATCTGAAGCAGGCTCCAGGCTCTGAGCTAGTTGTCAGCACAGAGCCTGACGTGGGGCTCGAACCCGCGAACCGTGAGATCATGACCTGAGCCGAAGTCGGGCGCTCAACCGACTGAGCCACCCAGGTGCCCCAACACGTTACAGTTTTAGATTCTGCTGAACATCCAAGGGAATCCCTCAATTACTTGGACATGAAAGACTAGGACTCAGGAAAGAGATTTGGGAATCAACTAATACAGATGAGATCTGAAACTACAGAGTGAATAAATTCTTCAGTAGGAGAGTAAGGAAGAGAGCCAAGGAACACTGAACTACGGGATTATCTACAGTTAAGAGATGCGGTGCCTGGGTGCCTCAGTTGGTTAAGCATCCGACTTCGGCTCAGGTCATTATCTCACAGCTCGTGGATTTGAGCCCTGCATCAGGCTCTCTACTGAGAGCTCAGAGCCTGCTTCAGCTTCTGTGTCTCCCTCTCTCTCTGCCCCTCCCCCGCTTGCTCTTTGTCTCTCAAAATAAAAGATATAAAATTTTTTTAAAAAAAATTTACAGTTAAGAGGTAATAAGAGGAACCTGGGTGGTTCAGTCCGTTTAGCATCCCACTTTTGATTTCAGCTCAGGTCATGATCCCAGGGTCGAAGGATGGAACCCAACATAGGGCTCCACACTGAGCATGGAAACTGCTTAAGATTCTCTCTCTCTCCCCCTTAGGTCCTCTATCCTGCTCATGTGTGCTCTCTCTCTCTCTAACAAAATACCAGTAAATAAATAAAGCCATTAATCCCATAAAAAAGAGAGAGATAATAGAAATAGGGACCCACAAAAGAAAGAAGGCTCCATAATGGGGGTAGAAGTGAGAGAACCAAAAGTAGAGGAATAAAATGTTCCAAAATGAAGAGTAAAGCAACAGTGTCAAAATGCTTGAACGAGGTCAAAAAGGTTGAGGGAGGAGGAAAAACGACCATTGGATTTTGTGATTGGAAGGTAACCATTGGTGACTTTCCTCAGAATCGTTTTCGTAGAGAAGAATCTCCAAACTAAATGTCAAGATGAAGGGAAGGGAGTTGGTGAGAAAAAAAGTTAACGGATCCTCCTCCTAGAGCAGGGTTCCTTAACTTCAGCACTGTTGACATTTGTGGCATAATCTAGAGTGACCGATCATCCCAGGACACAGGGGTTTCCTGGGACATAGGATTTTCAGTGTGAAAACTGAAAAAGTCGAAGACAAACCAAGATGGTTGGTCACCCTAACCATATAATTCTGTGCTGTGTGGGGCTGTGTTGTGCATTGCAGCATGTCTAGTAGCATCCCTGGCCTCTACCCACTTGTAGACGCCAGCATCACCTCCCACAGCTGCAGCTCCAGACATTGCCAGATGTCCCCAGAAGCAGGGGAAGGCAAAACCGCCCCAATTACAAAGCATGTTCTACACCATTTATCGGAAAAATCTGATTATAAAAGAGGAAGACTAGAATGCAAACCAGCAAGAAGTAGGATCAAGCGAACATGAATGCATGTGTATGTTGTGATTTCCTGAAAAGAAGATCTCTGCACATTTGGGTGCAAAAAGGAAGGGCTTGGTGGAAACAGTGTACATGATTCTGGAGAGAGACCAGTTGGACAGCAAGATCCTAGGAGATGGGGGTAGGAAAATGCAGAATAGGCACAAGAACCGCCTTAGAAATAGGGAAGATATTCTCATCTGAGATCTGGAAATGGAGGGTGGTAGAAGACCAGAAATATATTGAAGGAGAGAAGGAAAAAAATTTAGCACAGTAAGGTCATCTGATCTCTGTAGAGTTAAGGCAAGGAAAGAAAGGTGAGGAATAGGGAAACAAAAAACAAAAAACAAAAAACCCAGGAACGAGGAGATGAAGAGTGGAAAGGGGGTTTGAAGAACTATTCTTGGGGTATGCTAAATAAAAAAAAAAAAAATGAACACAAAGATTGTGAAGGAGCCCTGGGTCTCAAGGTGATTGAAGTCTGGTTTCTGGCAAGTGAAGTGGCAACCCGGAATAGAAAAGGGTGAGAGCCAGAGAGGCCAGCGGTGTTTCTTGAATTTTAATGTGCATACGAGAATTCCCCAGGGAGTTGTGCTAGTGTGCAGATTCTGATTCAGAAGGTCTGAAGCTGAGCCTCTGATTTTGCATTTCTAACAACTTTCCAGGTGAGGTTCACTTGGGAATGGTAGAGGGTTAGCGTGTTAATGATAGCAGTGTTAAAGTAGGTAACTGTTCAACAAATAAACATGGCCCTGGGGCTGCATGGGGAGTCAAGTGTAACCAAAATGAAGCCATAGAATTGAGAAAACTTGGTTATGCCCCGCAGTTGACTCCCCTAGTGATAGCAGAGAAGCCAGTACTTTGTACTGGTTTTTGAGGGGGGGAGGAAGGTGGTGAGGACTGGAAAGGTATGAAGGGTTGTAGCCAGAGCTGTTGAGTGGCCCACAGTACTTACTGCATCTGTATGAAGATAAAGGACTGTCGTAAGGAAACTGATTAACAGTTTGCTGTTGTACCTAACATTGATCTGTTTCCCTGTGTACTTAAGCTTCTCTATCTGGCAGGCTGGGGCATCTCTGAACTTGGAAGGTCACAACAGGGCAGAATTGCTGTATGCTTTGGCAACCTAGGTTAGGATCTCCTCTTGCGTACTCATGGCTATCCCTCTGGGTAACACCAGGATACCTATAGCATTCTGAGAAGCTAGGATGAATGGCTAATCAACGTTTCTAAGGGCAATGATAAGAGATGATGTTCTGAAGCTTATGTCCAGTGGGATGTTAGCTGACCTAAACCTCAAAATCCTCCAGAAACTCTACCTCTAAGCTGAGGGTAATAAGCCTCTCTACCTTTCTTTCTTTCTTTTTTTTTAATTTCTGAGAGAGAGAGTGAGAGAGCACAGGGGAGGGTCAGAGAGAGAGGAAGATACAGAATCTGAAACAGGCTCCAGGCTCTGAGCTGTCAGCACAGAGCCGGACATGGGCCTCGAACCCACAAACCATGAGATCATGACCTGAGCTGAAGTCGGATGCTTAACCAACTGAACCACCCAGGCGCCCAAGCCTCTCTACCTTTCTTCATTTTCTTTGACGTTCTTTTTTCCCTTGTTATCTGGGATTTACTTTCTTTCATTTCCGTCCTCAACCTGAAAAAATATAGGATTAAAATACAATTTCAAATAGTTCATGCTTCTTTAACATAACTCTACATGCTTAATTTGAAATAAGTGACTTTAAACTTTTCTATATCTTTCTTCCTCATCTCCCAAAACGGTCTTAAGTGACTTTTCTTTTGTATGTGATTTCATATTGATTACCTGGCCCCCACAATTCCATGTGGACTAGAAGTCCTTAACTCAAAAAGAGGGAGAAGAAAGGTCTGTCCTAGAAAGATTAGGGCTAGAGTACTGGCTAAGTATAGGGCAACACCTAAAAAGTTTTGCTCAAACCACACAATCCCCTTTCAAGCCTCACTTCATCCCTATCCTATACCGGGTCACTTTGAACTTTGAGATGCGGGGAGGAAGAAGCACTGAAAGAAAGGAGATGAGTGGCTAGAGTGGCGAGAATAAGGGCTACAGTGTCTGATGCCCTTATAGTGCCCTCTGCCGGTGGCTGTCCAGTACTCTAATCTCCCCTATGCCTATGGGCTAGACCTGAATCAGCCCATTTTTTAGTCCAACCCTTAAATTTATTTCTTTTCACAGAAAGAATACTCAAAATGGATTTTTCATGGGGCCGTGGGAGGGATGCATGGGATGTTCCTGTACATTTCTTTGCAATCCCCCGCATATCTAAAATTATTTCAAAATAAAAGTTAAAAATAGATTTTTTCAGAAAGCACTACTTTTAGGGGTACCTGGTTGGCTCAGTCAGTGGAGTGTATGACTTTTGATC